GTGTGTGTCTGATCCTTTGAGGATATATTTATTTGTGGTTAACAATTTTATAAAGTAAATTGATAAGAAAATATCAATTGTTATGACAAATATGTGAAATAAAATTTATTTAAGAAATTTAAACATATATAACCCCCAAAAAAATTATTTTAAAAATCCACGCCTATAAATATATACCTAAAAAAATTATTTCAGAATTCCACGCCTATAAATATATACCTCAAAAAAATTATTTTAAAAATCCAAGCCTATAAATATATAGGGGAGACTGGGGCACCTTCGGCACTTTTTTTTAGAGCTCTATATCTCAGTACATATTCAACATATATAACAACTATATGGCTGATTATTGTCCTCTGACACTTAATTATGAAAAATAGTACCAAAAAGATATATAAAAATAGTATTAGTTAAAACATTTTACAGTTTTGTAAAAAAAGTCAAATTCGCCGAATGTGCCCCAACCCGGGGTAGCTTCGGCATTTGATGGGGCACATTCGGCACCATAGTCATAGCCGGGTAATTGTCATCGCTATCAGTCTGGTTGAAATTCTTATTATCTAAAGGCTCTATTTGGTTTTAATACGCCACACAATGTTTGAATTATAGGGCTTTATTTTCTAGTGGCGGACCTTTACATCTCAAGGTCGCACACACCATCAGAAATATGGGTTTTCTATCGCATTTTCGTCAATATAAGCACGTTTGATCTTTTATATGCAATTTCGAGCCATATTAAAGGATTAGTTTTAAAGACAAACTCAAAAACATTTTAAGGAAATAATATTGCACAACCTGTATATGGCCGAATGTGCCCCAATTTAAAATGCCGAATGTGCCCCGAATGTACTTTTTATAGTTTTTTCATTTTTTTCGATCAGTTTTGTAAAAATATTATATTTTTAAATATTTCTATAATAATACACATCGTAGTTAACCACTTTTTAATAATATTGTCTTAAAAATTTAAAAAGTTTTATACACGAAATACTTACGAAATGGAATTGAAATATTACAGAAACATCTATAAAAATACAAAAACCTATGTATCTAAATAAGCTTATTAGCTAGAAATTTCAAACTTTGTGTAAGTTATTTATTTCGATATTCGATACCTATGTATCGAAACTAGTGATGTACGGTGAGAGCTTCATATCGAAAACGCGATTGTCGAAGTTGCCCCGATGCCGAAGGTGCCCCAGTCTCCCCTACCTCAAAAAATTAATTTTAAAAATCCACGCCTATAAATAAATATATACTTCAAAAATATTATTTTCAAAATCAACGCCTATAAATATATACCTCAAAAAAATTATTTTCAAAATCAACGCCTATAAATATATACCTCAAAAAAATTATTTTAAAAATCCACGCCTATTAAAAAAAATTAAATCCACGCCTATTAGAACAAATTTTAAAATCCACCCCTTTAAAAAAATGTTTTACAAATACAAACTTTTTTTAAAAATCCACGCCTATAAATATATACCTCAAAAAATTAATTTTAAAAATCCACGCCTATAAATATATTTCTAAAAAAAATATTTTAAAAATTCCACGCCTATAAATATATACCTCAAAAAAATATTTTAAAAATCCACGCCTATATATATATATAAACCTTAAAAAAATATTTTAAAAATACACACGAGCTTGGTGCAACATTAAATTAAATCGGACGAAAAACACACATGGGAGCTATATCTAAATCTGAACCGATTTTCAAGAAATTTAACACACATCGTTTTAGACTTAATTCCGTACGCTCGGCCAAATTTCGTGCCAATCGAATGATATGTAGGGACTTTGGTGCACCATTTACATAAAATCGTACGAATATATATATGGTAGTTATATCGAAATCTGTACCGATTTTCACGAAACTTAATACACACCATTCTAAACTCAATTCAGTACGCTATGCCAAATTTCGTGCCAATCGAAATATATATAGGGACTTTGGTACACCATTTACCTTAAATCGGACGAAGATATATATGGGAGCTATATATAAATCTTAACCGATTTCCACGAAACTTTTCACACATCATTCTATACTTAATTCAGTACGCTATGCCAAATTTCGTGCACATTGAAGGATATATAGGGACTTCGGTGCACCATTTACATAAAATCGGACCAAAATATATATGGAAGCTATATATAAATCTGGACCGATTTTCAAGAAATTTAACATACATCGTTCTAGACTCAATTCAGTATGCTGTGCCAAATTTCGTGTAAATCAAATGATATATAGGGACTTTGGTGCACCATTTACTAAAAATCGAACTAAAATATATATGGAAGCTATATATAAATCTGGACCGATTTTACAGAAATTTAAAACACATCTTTCTAGACTTAATTCAGAACGCTGTGCCAAAATTCGTGCAAATCAAATGATTTTCAGAGACTTTTGTGCACCATTTACCTAAAATCGGGCTATGGGAGCTATATCTAAATCTGAACCGATTTTAACGAAACTTAATACACACCATTCTAGACTCGATTCAGTACGCTGTGCCAAATTTCGTGCAAATCGAATGATATATAGGTACTTTGGTGCACCATTTACCTTAAATCGGACGAAAATATATATGGAACCTATATATAAATCTGGGCCGATTTTCAAGAAATTTAACACACTTTTATAGACTTAATTCAGCACGCTATGCAAAAGGATATAGGGGCTTTGGTGCACCATTTACCTAAAATCGGACGAAAATATATATGGAAGCTATATATAAATCTGGACCGATTTTGAAGAAATTTAACACACATCTTTATCCCTCCACCACAGTATGGAGGGTATATTAATTTTGTCATTCCGTTTGTAGCTCATCGAAATATTCATTTCCGACCCTATAAAGTATATATATTCTTGATCAGGGTAAAATTCTAAGACGATCTAGCCATGTCCGTCCGTCTGTTGTAATCACGCTATCTTCCGAAGGAATTGAGATAGGGTGCTGAAATGTTGCATAGGGTTGTCTTTTGTCTACAGGCAGGTCAAGTTCTAAGATGGGATATATCGGTCCACGTTTTGGCATAGCTCCCATATAAGGGAACCCCTCAATTTTCGGTATTTTGGGGTTCTTTAGCGCGTTTTTCAACCGAATTCGCTGAAATTTGGTACATTGGGTACTAAATGTCTCCACAAAAAATTATAAATATAGGTCCACTTTTTCTGGTAGCCCCCATATAACGGTAGCTCTTAATTTTCCGTATTTCGGATAGCCCCCATATAAGGGTACCCCCAATTTTCGGTATTTTGGGGTTCTTGATCGCGGTTTTTAACCGAATTTGCTGCAATTTGGTATTTTGTAGTAGTAAATTGTAACAAATTATTAATATTCGCCCCCTATTTGGGGTAGTTCCCATATAAGCCCCTTTTTTATATTAAAGGGATTATGTAAACCCCTTTTTAAAAATGTCGGTATATGCCCACTTTTTGGTGTGTTCCCTATATTTTCATTTCAAGTACCTGTCAGTATATCTATGGTGGAGGGTATCCAAAGTTCGGCCCGGCCGAACTTTGGTTATCTGTTTATATTAAAATAGTTATCTGATATGTTCCGTGTGTTGCGGTTGGGTAGTCGTTACGGGGAATAGTCAATTTTACCCTACAAAGACTATTCTAAAGATATTGTGATAAAAAAAACTCAAACATGACGATAATGAAATATATCGGCAGACATTAAGGCATCTCCTCAATATAGCGATACCTCCTGAAGGAAATAATTGAGATAAACAATTAAAATATTGGATTCAAAATTGGCATATACCGGTGATGATTTAGGCATATCCCTCATATAATGATATCCCCAAATATTCACTTTTTATTATAGTTTGAGGATTTTATACTCTACCATGCGTTATCAGTATCAGTCCACTTTTTGGATCTTACAGATTTTAGGAAAATCCCCATTAAAAATTGCTGAAGTTTGTATTTGGTTTGTAGAATTATCGGTATATGTCCACTCTTTGCTATGTTCCCTATATTTTCATTGTAGGTATCTGTCAGTATAACTATGGTGGAGGGTATCCAAAGTTCGGCCCGGCCGAACTTAACGCTTTTTTCACTTGTTTCTTTTGCCTTCTCCTGTGCCACAGTGTGGTGAAGGGTATAAAAAGGTATTCGGTCCACTTCATCCCATAAATATAATCTGATAATCACCGAAAGTTATAGGTGTTGTCCTTGACCATAACTGGATCCTCATGGAAAACTTCAAAGCTATCAGCGCTATATTTCCGTCTTCTAGAGTGGTAATGGGTTACTAAATAATATCTGAATACTTAAGCACCTGTAAACATTTAAGTGTAACTCCAAAATCCGAGTACATACGGCAATATAATTGGTATCAATTTAAAGGTCAACAACTCCTCTTGGATATACTATCAACTTCTCGGCTCTATGTCCTTCAGGAGAAAATATATCCGCTATAAAATACAAATTTTGTAATTTTTCACACAAAAGTCAGGGTCCCTTTCATACCCTAAATATTCACCCATCTTTACCAAAAACAATAGGGGGTCTGCATTGGCCAGAACTCATCCTACATTCAAAATTTCGTGTTAAAAAATTATAATGGACAGACGGACGGACACACATGTCTGGATCGACTCAGCTAGTCGAGATATGGCGATCGGTATAATAAAAGGTGGGCCTAAAAAATTATAATGGACAGACGGATGGACGGACACACGTGACTAGATCGACTCAGCTAGTCGAGATATGACGATCGGTATACTAAAAGGTGGGCCTAGGACCAATATTTCGCTGCGTTACAAACTCTTGGGGCTACACAAAGCTTTAATACCCCGACAACATAGTTGTGTAGGGTATAAGAATTCACGCCTATACATAGACCCCAAAAAATAATTAAAAAAGTACAAATAAATTTTCATTCCGATAAAAATGTCTTGGAATTTGACATTTCCCAATAATAATTCAATTAAAATCCTCTTAGAAAATTGGACCCGTCACAAAAGGCATTATGATTTTGTGGGAAATATTGAAGAGTGAAGACATTAAAGATGCCTGTGAATTTGTCCAGACCACCACCAGCTGTAATGGTGTGGTGAGCCTTATAAATTATCTATATTTATTCGAATGTGTCCTGCAATGGCATACACCATGGCTGTCCTTGACATTGGCTGTAACGATTTTGCTGCTATACGCTTTGAGTCTCTATGTTAATGCTAGATATTTGTAAGTAATCCTGGATATACCCCGAAATATAAACCTTGTCGGTTTTTTCTCCCCACCAGCCTCCTCCCCAACTCCATTGCCTTGGCCAATTACTTGCACATCCCCAATTACGATTTTGGTTGCATTGTCTTGGGTATCCTCTTCACTCTACCATATGGCCTTTCCATGATCTACAGTTGTTTTGAATATAATCGTTCGGATTCTTTGCTACATGCCATGACATTTGGTAAAATATTTACCTGTTGGGTCATTGGGTTATGTCTCCTCTCCTATCGTGGTGGATTTCGAATCAATGCCACGATATTTTTACGTGACATGTTCTTCCTTACTGTGGCCTGGTTATATTTATATGCCGCGGTCCAAAATGAAATGTTAAATGAAAATCAAGAGGAATATTTGAAATCGGAATCAATGATCGACATACATTCACACATAAGTATGGTGGGGTATATTCTCTACCTTATTTGTAGAATGTTCTCTTTCAAGGCCCATCGGAAGAAGCCTCAAATGCTGAAAAAAGTTAATTTCCTCTCAAGTAGTTCAGAGTCCTTAGAGAGTGATTGCTATCCCGAATCACTATACAATCCAGTGGATCTGAATGTCAAGCCGTGGCAGCAATTTTGGAATTGCATAAATCCCATTAGGGCCTTGAGTTCCCATTCCCTTCCAATTAAAATCGTAATGGTAGGTATTTCCATCCTGCCACTTATCACAAATAAATCCAACATCCTTTCCAGAGCCATTTTTATGTCCTGTTGGCCTTGGTTATCCCAGTGGTACATAACGAACGTCCATTAAATGGTTGGTGTAAAGCCATCTTCGGCTGTAGTTGTCTGATATTTCCCCTACTATTGGTCACCTTGGATTTGGATTCCTATACCCTGTTTTCATGCTTCATATTGGGAATATGTGCCCTTTTGCTGATAATTGTTTTGACACACTCGCAAAGGATACCAACAAATCATGAGGTAATACTAACTTGATTGGGCCAAAGAAAAGGCATGTTTTTGATAAACATCGGTCAATATTTAGCGCATCAAATGAACCCTGACTTTTGTGTGAAAAATTACAAAATTTGTATTCTATAGCATATATATTTAGCCCTGAAGGACATAAACTCAAGAGGTTGATATTACATCCAAGAGGAATGGTTGACATTTACATTGATACCAATTATATTGTCGTATATACTCGGATGTGGGAGTTCCACGTTGAAGGGAATCTGGACAAGTAATTAGAAGGGCTGTACTGAATATTAGTAATATTTGTTGGCCTGATCCTTATAAAGGCGTGGAATTTTTATACCCTTCACAACACTGTGATACAGGGGATTATGTCTTTGTGCATATGTTTGTAACAGGCAAAAATAATCGAGATAGACACATGGTTCCTTTTGAGAATATGCATAGAATCACTTTCTGAGTCCATTTATGCATGTCCGTCCGTCCGTCTGTCCATGTTAAATAGTAAATAAAGTACAGGTCGCATATTTGATTAGAATTGGATGCAATTTGGCACAGCTCATTGATTTGGTTCAAGGACGAACTCTATTGAAATTGGGAATAGCTCCCATATATATTTTCGTCCGATTTAAGGTAAATGGTGCACCAAAGTCCCTATATTTCTTTCGATTTGCACGAAATTTGGCATAGCGTAATAAATTGAATCTAGAATGATAAGTGGTGAGTTTCGGGAAAATCAGTTCAGGTTTCGATATAGCTCCCACATATATTCTCGTCCGATTTTAGGTAAATAATGCACCAAAGTCATTTTATATCCTTCGATTTGCTCGAAATTCGGCACAACGTACTGAATTAAGTCTAGAACGATGTGTGTGAAATTTCATAAAAATCGGTTCAAATTTAGATATAGCTCCCATATATATTTCCGTCCAATTTGAGGTAAATAATGCACCAAAGTCCTTTTATATCCTTCGATTTGTACGAAATTTGGCATAGTGTATTGAATTAAGCCTAGAAAGATGTGTGTGCAATTTCATAAAAATCGGTTCAAATTTAGATATAGCTCCCATATATATTTTCGTCCGATTTGAGGTAAATAGTGCACCAAAGTCTTTTTATATTCTTCGATTTGCACGAAATTTGGCATAGCGTAATAAATTGAATCTAGAATAATAAGTGGTGAATTTCGGGAAAATCAGTTCGGGTTTCGATATAGCTCCCACATATATTTTCGTCCGATTTTAGGTAAATAATGCACCAAAGTCATTTTATATCCTTCGATTTGCACGAAATTCGGCACAACGTACTGAGTTAAGTCTAGAACGATGTGTGTGAAATTTCATAAAAA